TGATGCACTCAGGTAGAAAACCACTGCCAAGAAATGAAAACCTGCATCCTGCAAGAGGAGAAATCAATCAGAGAAGAGAACTTGTTGTTTGATCTTTTTACAGTTACTAATGCGCACCACACCCCAAATACAATCTTCTTCCAGCATTCAAGGTGGGCATCAACTTTTGGTCTTTACACCTGCTTTTCTGCGGAGTTGGTATACAAACACTTCTACATTAGTTTCATTATTATTTTAAATTGCAATATCAAATTGTCCTCAGACAGCAATGTTGCTGGATGTCTGAATCACAAATCACAAAGTACTGACGCTGAGCATGTGCAGCGTTGTATCTGTAAAAAGGTTAATTTATCAATCAGCTGACAGTCTGTGAAGTTTAACAACTTTGGACTATGGCTAATCTAAACTTTTTGGCTCCTTTTGGCNGCAGTCCTGTGGGCGCAAATGCCTTGTTGATGCTAGAGGTCAGTGGAGAATGGCCAGACTGGTTCGAGCTGATAGAACAGCAACGGTAACTCAAATAACCACTCGTTAAAACCGAGGTCTGCAGGAGAGCATCTCTGAACACACAACACATTGAACATTGAGGCAGATGGGCTTCAGCAGCAGAAGACCACACCGGGTGCCACTCCTATCAGCTAAGAACAGGAAATTGAGGCTACAATTCACACAGGCTCACTAAAACTGGACAATAGAAGATTGGAAAAACGTTGCCTGGTCTGATTAGTCTCAATTTTTGCTGCAACATTTGGATGGTAGGGTCAGAATTTGGCGTCAACAACATGAAAGCATGGATCCATCCTGCCTTGTATCAACGGTTCAGGCTNGGCTACTTTCAGCAGCATAATGCGCCATGTCATAAAGCTGGAATCATCTCAGACTGGTTTCTTGAACATGACAATGAGTTCACTGTACTCAAATGACCTCCACAGTCACCAGATCTCAATCCAATACTGCACCTTTAGGATGTGTTGGAATGGGAGATTCTCATCACGGATGTACAGCCGACAAATCTGCAGCAACTGTGTGATGCTATCATGTCAATATGGACCAGACTTTCTGAGGAACGTTTCCAGTACCTTGTTGAATCTATATCACGAAGGATTAAGGCAGTTCCGAAAGCAAAAGGGGTCCAACCTCGTAAAAGCAAGGTGTACCCTATAAAGTGGCCAGTTTATACTTCTCATCCAACCACAATTCAGTTCTCTCTCTTCAGGAGGTACTATTTATCTGAATAGGTTTTTATTTTATTAACAATAACAAGTCAAAATGAAATAGGAGTAACAAGTTTCTACTATTTTTTAAATGTAAGGAGGAAAAGTAAAAAGTTGACTGAAAAATAATTACTCAGGTAAAATTTCTACTTAAGTACAGTAACAGTGTATTTGTACTTTGTTACTTTACAATTATTCATCCATCCATCCATCCATCCATCCATCCATCCATCCGTCCATCCACCCATCCACCCATCATTATTTCCCCAGTTAGTTAATCAGTAAATGGTGTGTTTCTAACCACAGCAGGCCAAGCGCTGCTCTGATTGCCTCCACAGACAAAGATAAAGAACCACAGAGTCGTCCCGACGAAGCAGAAGACTGATACAAACATCACCCAGCCCAAAGGGTTGGCTGGTTCAACGTGAGTTGATGCCACAAGGATCCACACCAAACCTCCAAAGACCTGCAGAGTCAAACAGAGAAGGCAGGAAGAGAAACTACTGAGCAACATGTTGTTAAAAGGTTAGTTAGCTAGACTGAAATATTGAAGTCTATATAACAATATTTGGGAAAAAAAGAAAAGTCAAATATCACAAGACCATGTCATTATAATGCCATTAATTGGCATGATTTTATCACCAAATATTGTGAACAATGAGAGTTTTCAGAAATTTCCTTATTATGAACAAAATTGTGACCCATGAGGAGTGATGGGATTACCTCTGTATAAATAGCTTTCACTTTTCTGATACCTCATCTCTAAACTAGGGCTGTGAAATTAATCGAAATAAATCTGATTAATTTTAGTGCTGCATGGGCATAGATTAAAAATTTTAATCGCGATTAAAATTTACAGTCTCTTTACTAAGGCTGAATTTGTAGGTTTGTATACTGCAATGCACTCAGTGTATGCCAGGTCATGTTTGTAAATGAGAAGCGGTTCTCAAACAGTTTACCTGGATAAATAAATGTTAAATAAATTTAAAAAAAACTCCATGTGTAACATATTATGTTGAGTTTCTTTTTCTTTGTGTCTTCTCACGGCTTATTTCATATTATTTATTTATGTTTTGCTGACAACTGTGACATTGTATCTATTTTTCATTCCTCGTGTAGTTCTTTAGTAGTAGTATGTAGTAGTAATAACTCAAGTAATTTATTTTACCAATATGCAATAAAGTTTTATATTAAATTTAAGATTAATCGTGATTAATCTTGATTAATTCACAGCTACTTTGGAATTAATAGATTAAAAATTTTAATCATTTGACAGCCCTACTCTAAACTATTTATTTTGTGTGTCTATTCTGCCTTGGGTTTTTCTAATTTTTCAGTGTTTCCCTGTGTTTCTCTGCCCTGTTGTCCTGCCCACGCTCACCTATTTCCTCTTGTGTCTCCGGCTCCGCCAGATGTTTCCCATTGTCGTTCATTAGTTTCCCTTTATGTTCCTTTTATGTTCGGCATCTTGTCTTCAGTGTTTGTCAGATGTGCTGTTTTCCCCCAGTCAGTGTGGTGTCCCCGTGTTCTCGAGTTTTTTTTTTCCTGTGCCAAGCCTTGAGAGTTTTTGAGCTGCCTGGCCAGAAATTTTTTACTTTAAATAAAACCTTATTTGTTTCACACTCTGAGCCTGCCTGTGCCCTGGGTCGATCTGCTGCTTCCACCTCACAGTTCGTTCGTTAGTTTTAGGTTAGCTGCTGTTATGGGTTCTGTTTTTACTTCAGTGTTTGTCTGTTTCATATGATTTGCCACTTCTTGGAAATTGTTTACACCCAAAACCTGTTAAATATTTTTTTAGATTTATAGGTGTAATTATTGTTTTCTACCTAATCACCAGTTTAATGCACACCTGTTGGCCCTTATTGGTATTTTTGTAAGTTCTTATGTTTGTTGGTATATATTAGATTATACTACATTTTTGTAGTGATGGGAATTCCAACTTTTCACCAAAGTCCGAATGATTTTGTTGAGCTAGAAAAAAAGATGGATTATTCTTTTGTGCCAAACTAAATAGTTAAAATACTAGAAAAAGTCAGCATTTCCATCATTATTCCTTTTAAGTTACTTTCTGTAATTTATGTCACTAAGTTGTCATGGGTCACTGGACCCTCAGTTTGACATCTGTTATTGGTCAATTCCATCCATTCCTCTCTTGACTCTGACAAGTATCTCTAATAAATTTCTGTCACTGTGTCATTTATTTTAAGTTGACTGCTTTAACCTTTTACATTAATAGGCATTTCAGTCAGCCGTTCAATATGAAGTGTCCAGGAGTGGGTTCAGATTAAGTACCAATTAGAGAACATCTGTATCCTTACTCTAAATCTGCCTTTTTACATGGGAATTGTTCAGTTTTCTCTACTTATCAAGTGTAGAGCAACACAAATACAGAACACACACACATAGTCCGCTCATTGTTTAGGGCGACTGCGGCAGAGTGGTTAGGGGAGTCGTCCTGGAACCGGTAGGTTGCCAGTTCAATCCCCCATCCAGCTGTCTCAGTTGTTGTGTCCTTGGGCAAGATACTTAACCTCCGATGCCTCTGATGTGTGTCCCATCAGTGTATGAATGTGATTGGCACTGGTAAACATGGCCCTTTAAAAGCAAGGGAAATCTATTCACCAATTTTGTTTTTAAGCATGGCAACAAACATTCAGTCTAACAGAAAAGGAAGTGCCGTGCCTTAAATTAATGTGTCCACAAACATTTTTATTATTATTGCTGATTTTTGCATAATAAGCTTATTGCTTTTTTCTGCTCCCCTCTACAGGGTTTGCCACAAGTGAGCAAATTTGCAGGAAAGATTTGGCAACAATTTTTTTGCCAGATGCCCTTCTTGATGCAAATTGGGTTCTGACCTGTAATCTCAGGATTACTAGACTGCAGCACTGACCACCACACTGCTTCAGACACCAAATATATTAACAGGTAAGTCCACAAATATAAAAATCTATTAATCTGAAAGTACTGAAAGGGAAAAACAAGCACACGCACATTACAGCAAAGAAACAGTGAACAGAACAAACACAGAGAACAATATTGCATAACTGTCCAAATATTACTTTGTACAAACAGCTTTCACATGTCTGCTAATAATACATTAAATCTTATTGTTACATCATTGTATTAGGCATGCTGTTCATTCCAAAGTGACCAACACAACCACACTGGCTGACTTACAAGCAAAAATTGAATGAGAATTGGATGCCATCTGACAGTAGTATATGAGGAGCAGGAGGAGGAGATGCCAATTTGTTGTGTCTGTATGTGGTTCTTCCACATGATACAGAGGCCCACATTTGTTAAATCAGTAGATTATTTACTTGCATTCAGACTTCAGTCCTCCAATCTAATAAACATCAAACACATAGCTGAATAATACATAAATAATTATGTTTGGCAATGGCAGAGAAGAATATGCAAGTTTTTTGTGGACACAACACATATAATCAGCTGCTGCTCAACACATAAACGTATTTTCCTAAGAGTTAGGATTAGAGAAAATAAACAAGCTTTTGTTACCTTTAGTGCTAAATTTGCATCCATGTCCAAAATGGAATAAACCTTTAATAAAATGTACTTTTCATAAAAAGCTTTTCATCATGTAGCTGTGAAATATTTGGACTATATGGCAGCTCCAATGTATTCAAACCTTTAAGAGAAGCAGGTCCAGCTTATTGATGATTCATTTCTACAGTATGAACTTTTTCCTGACAAGAAAATGTTGTTTTGGAAGTGAGGCAAAATGTGAAAGAGCTGTCTGTATTTTCGTTAGTTTGCTTTTTTTGTTTTGTTCTGCTGCAGAATTGGTCAAAGACGTTTCTTCTCGGTTGGTATCTGACAAAGAGACGTTAACCATCCAAACCATTCTTTTAGACCAATCAGCGTTTCCAAGTCAACAAAAGGTAAACCTTTTTTTATTTTTATAGATAAAGATTTCTGCGGGGCGGTCTTTTCTTTTATAGTGATCATAAATTGTTATTTGTTCTCCCTGAAAGGAATGCAGCTTCTTTGTAACTCAGCTTCGTGGAAAACTAAAAATACCCCATATATATGTTCTTTTTATTGATGCTTTTCAACATTTTATGTTTTTTTTTTAAAGATGGGTGTGGAAGGTAGGAGGGTTTGCTCTCATAAAACAGTTTCCAGGCAAGCCTTTTCCATTTTTGTCAATAGGCTGAAGAGGACTGTGTCATGTTTGACAAACAACAAAATGTAGGGGGGGGGGGGGGGGGGAGAGGGGAAA